TACGAAAAAAAACGTAAAATTTTTTGCAAAAAATCAAGTTGTTGATTTTTTTCCACCATGTTACCGTTAGGGAATCACGATATAAATATGATCAGAGGTGATCACGACCATCAAAGTATCTCAGGGAATTTTTATGGATTTTTCGAACCACTACTTCAAACAAAAAAAAACTTATATTCATGTAAAACATAACTCATTTTTACTTGAAAACTACTGAATTAAGAGAAAAAGTGCAAAAAACCAAAGTTTGAAAAGGAGTTCAAAAATTCCATAAAAATTCTCGGAGATACCTTGATAGACGTGATCACCCCCTGATCATATTTATATCGTGATTCCCTAACGGTAACATGGTGAAAAAAAATCAAAAACTTGATTTTTTGCAAAAAATTTTACGTTTTTTTTCGTATAAATAGCCATAACTTTTTTATTAAGCAAAGAATCGAACTTTTGAGCTCAGTTTCTGAAAGGACATTAAATTTTACATCGAAAAAGGTCCATTTGAAACTTTTTGGAAGCCTCAAACTACAAAAAAAATCGCTGCGAAAACCAACAAAAAAATCAAGCAGTTTGGTCGTTAATGGGATAAGTGGCAAATTGACTCGATATCGCGGTGGGATTGATTTGTTTGCTCGCATTACAAATGGATGAAAATCATTACACTAGCTCAATTGTTTTTTCTCTTTTTTGCTCTAATACGAAAAAATAAGCGCGTCAAAACTTTCTTGCCACTTCGTTTGAATAAGCTACTTTTTTGTTTCTACGCTCGAGTTAGATACCTCTTTGCCTCTGCGCTCGAGTTAGATACCTCTTTGCCTCTACGCGCGAGTAAGTATCCTTCTTGCTACAGAATTGAAATAGATACCTTCCTGCGCTGGGGCGACGATATTCAGAATACTTTGCAGACGAATCAAACAGTTCATAAAAAATACAAAACTTCATTAATTGATAAATATATACGCCAACCAAATGATTATGAACACTTATCGTTATTTGAATTTGCAAAAACTGTAGTAGCTATCGTACGCATATTTCCTAATTTGCAGTTAAACGAAAGTCAAGAACCAGAATCGTATTATCGGCAACGGAAAAACGTTAGCAACATCGCTGCACTCAGCGTGATAAGATAAATTGTTTGTTTACGACTTACTTGAGCTACGTTCATATCGAAGTGAGCGAGAGAGAGACAGAGATAATATACATAGGACGTTGCAAAATATATTGAGCGCCAATTAGCTTCAGCTTTAGTCCATCACAGCGGAAAAAAGACTCTGACCCTGTGGGGTGATGCATTTCTACGATGAATTTGTGAGTTTATTCCTCTGTCGTCTAACGCGCCTTGAATTGTTATTTTTTTCAACAATAATTTTCCAACGTATTACTTGCGTTATTTATTGTAAGGACGGCGGTAGATATAAAACACCTGGCTGATTCCTCTTTTTCTCTCTTCTGGTATGAAAAAACATGTTTACATTAATGTGTCCCTACTTTTTCAAGCTTGCTGTTTTTGTCAAGTTGAGGTTTTCTGAAATTTAAATTATAAAAATTATTTAAATTCAATCTTGGAAGAAAATGCGAAAGAGTTACATACTAAAAATTGTACAAATCATTCAAAAATAAAATTTAAAACATCCGAATAAATAAGAAAATTCAATTTTTTTTAATTAAGTCATTCGAATGATTTAAAAAATATGCAACATTAGTTAAGAACTTCAGATATAAAAGAAATACTGCACGTACTTGATGTCTAACACGAGCTTTTGCCCGCAGCCGCTATTAGCCAATATTATTTAATTATACGTGAAATAATGAAGGTAGAATAGCAGAATTTATTTTTAGTGTACCATGGAAAATAAATCGCATCGCAGTGTCTGAAAGCGAAAAAAGCAATATATTTTTACAACTATCAGAGTGATGTAATTGAAATGTGTTGGTGTATTATAAAGTAATTGTGTCGAATTTTAAAAATGTACAGTAAAGGCGGATCAATGACATTTGTGTTGAAAAAAGAAAAGTTTAAAGCTTAAAACAAATGATCAATTATCTGTTACTCGAGTAAATGAGACTTGAAAAGTGTATACGCCGACAGTTGCTATTATATCGGGTAAAAACTGAAAAGCCAATGCTGAACTCGCCGATACACATAAAGCGAGGTCGTGTAACGGGGAGTAGTAGCAAACGCACATGCATACAGAAATATTTTTTGCAAGATCGCATGTATAGTAGTTACACGGCTGCTCGTTTCTCGTGGCTCGAGCAAACACGAGAGTCACACGTTACTTCGACGCGTGCAATATACATACGATGGAATAGGATCGGGCAGGCAGGTTCGGGATGCGCTACATCGCTGTATACATTGGATAAAATATAAAGCGAGCGAGAGACTGCGTGACCTTATCCGAAGGCTATATTTTCTCTTTATTTATAAACTTACAGCGCGCGTATACTTATAGATGCGAATAGCTCGGAGAGCGTCGCGCCGCGACTGCAGAAAAATATTGCGCGCTTCGGAGCAAACATAAACGCGCGCGCGCCTGGATAAGAGAGCAAAGAGATACACCTCTGGGGAAAAGTTTTGTCGCGCGCGAGACAGAAAACAACGAGCGCAGCCTGTATACATATACGGCAGAGTCCATTGGGGGGTGGTGGTAAGTCGGGAAAATTGCAAAAGAGAGCGAGGCGAAGCAAAGAAAATACACGAACGGCAGGGCGCGCGTAAGCAAAAGCCTATCTACCGGCTGGTGCGCTTTTTTCTCTATACTCGTGCGCCACGAATAGAGAGAGAGACTCGCACGTTGCGCGCGTAATAGCTGCGAGCCGCGTTTGCAAGCTCGACTTTTGCACGACCAACAAACCGAAGAGAATAGTGCACCTGCAGCAGCAGCAGCAGCCTTGCTCTCATTAACGAAATCCAAAGCCCGAGCCGTCTTACGTATACGTGCATCTTTAATGACGAAATAATGTTTACAAGTAAGCCGTCGTAAAACCTGAAACTGTTCAAACTCGCTTCCTTGTAAGTTGTAACTGTGCTTTGCAATACGAGTACAGTACACGTTCTACCTCCAGATGACACTGTCAAACCCACAAGTAAAAACCAAATCAACAAAAGTTAAATTTCAGGTGCCTTTTCTTTTCATTAGCAATTTGTTTTTTGTTAAATTCAACCAGCAACTTAATCGGTTTTAATAATAAATTTTCTATTAATTGTCAACTCATCAACCTTAAATATTTGTAGAAAAATATAGCACATATAGTTTTCGTAATCAATCCTCTGCTTATAGTAAAAATCAGCTTGGAATCAGTGCAACTATCGCGTCGCTGCTATCGTTGCTGCTCTCGTTCCTGGTAAGGGTAAGGTAGCGCGCATGCTAACTGCTGCTGCACGTACAGGACTCGTCTAGCCTCGCATTCGCCAGTGCGCAGTATCCTTTATGTGTGTGTGTGTGTGTGTGTGTGTGTGTGTGTGTGCATCCAATGCCAATGTAGTGTGTGTGCGCGCAAGGGGCTGTGCTGTGGCATGTTAGGTATATATAGGTATAATATATAGGCTAGGGTGTGCTGGCTGCGAGGGCGAAACGTGTCGTGCGCGTCGTTGTCGTCGTCACTCGCCCCTGCGCGCGCCACTCCGCCGGATCTCCCCGTTGCGATCATACAAATGCGCGGCGCGCCGCCGTCTCGACTCTCTGGCAGTCTTGCGCCAGCCACCGCGAGCGATATACCCTCGTCCGCATATCGGTCCGCAGCCGCAGTCCACCAGTTGTCGTATAAAATATAAACGCATCCGTAGTCGACCGCTGTGTACTTTGCTATTGCCTCTCTGCGCGGTCGTTCAACCCATCCCTCGACGATCGCTCGACCTCGACTGTTCCGCGTGTGTGAATCGCGTCTTCGAGCTTCCTTCCTATCTCCCCTTTTCTTTTCTCTTTCTATCTCTCTCTGTTTTACACGACTACCCCAAAATGTACCTCTGAATTCGTTGAATTGTGCGACGATTGAGATTTTACAAAAGTGAACGAATTGGATGAGGATACAGTACGTTATGTTTGCGTAATATCACTGATATTGAAAGTGCGTCCCTCTCGTGAGACTCGTCGAGTCGTGACACGATATCTTCTGTGCGGATTTGTAGGATATCTTGAAATCAGTGCTGCCACGCGAACCGACCAATCTCCAAATCAATGAAGTAGGAAACGCGCGACATGCTCGCTCACGACGTATCGTCAAAAATTACGAGTCGACTCGAAGTTGCGACTCGTCGATCGATGCCATTAGCGACTCCACCACGGGCTGTATCGCGCGATCTTTCCTTTGCTCTTCCGGCCTGATGATGATGATGATGACGACGATGACTGCTACGACGACGATGATTTCTTTTCGCGCTCCGAATATCGGGACGTCGCTCGTGACTCCTACTCGAATGACGAGCCACGGTCTTTCCTAGTGCGAACCGAAACACGGATAATCTCTCTCGCGTGAAATATACCTCGTCTCAGCCGTACACGAGTAATGTCGTCAGGAAAAAGAAGCCTCGCAACGATGAAGATTCATCGTTTGCTGCTCGTTTTATGCCTCAGCTGCGCAGCGCGCGAAGCGATCGCCGTGAGCAGCAGTACAACTTCTGCCGTTCCGCCACAGCAGCAAAAGCAACATCGTCAGCAACAAAAACTGCAGCAGCAGCAGCAGCAGCAACAAGAGCCACAAGATCCACAAGATCCACAACAACAACAACGGCAATTACTCTTGGTACCGCGACAATGTAGATGGGAGTCGGCGAGCGAGGGTCTGCTGGTTTGTTGGCAACGCGAGCCCGCGGCAAGTCGTCTAAATCTTAGCGAGATACCGGCCGACGCTCTAACTTCTCTCGTTCTGTACTGCGCGTCCGCCGTAAGCGATGACGACGGCGACTCTGCTGCTTTCGCCGCTGCTTTCGGTGCTGCTACTGGTAGTAGTAGTAGTAGTAGTAGTAGTGCCGACCTCGGCCAAGAGTTAATTAACTCGCCAAGCGCTGCTGCTACGATGTTCATGGGTGGCGGCGGCGGCGGCGGCTACGAGCGCACCGTCTTTGCTGCCGAGGAACTATCGCACTTTTGGCGACTGCGAGCCCTGCACATAGTCGGCTGCAGAGTTAGCCGGCTCGCCTCCAAAGTACTCTCAGGACTTCGGGACTTGAGAAACTTGACGATTAGTACGGACAGCCTCGGCTACTCGCAACTAGACCAACTGGCCAGTTCAAGCAGTGGCGACAACGCGAGCAAATTCGCTCTGGAACTGGAAGCCGGCGCCTTCGAGGCCGCCAGCCAGCTCGAGAAGATCGACCTCTCGCGCAACAACATGTGGCAGCTGCCCGCCCAGGTATTCTGCCCGCTCGCCAATCTCGTCAGTCTTAATTTGTCCCACAATCTGCTGGAGGATCTGCGAGAGCTCAACTTTGGCCAGTCGGCCGCGGGCCTGCGACGCTCCGAGCGCAAGCAGCGCCGATTGGATTATCAAGTTCAGCCGAGGCAGCAGCCGGCCTCGCCCCCGCAGCCGAGCGATAGCCCTCCGAGCAACGGCAACGGCAACGGCAACGGCAACGGCAACGGCAACGGCTGCTTCCTGGACCTGCGAACGCTGAGCGTGGCCAACAATCGGGTCTCGCTGCTGCCCTCGCGGGTCTTCGGCTCGCTGCGCCGTCTGAGCAGCCTCGACCTGTCGGGCAACGCCATCGCCGTGGTCGAGGACGACGCCCTGCACGGCCTCAGATCGCTCAGGAGCATCGACCTGTCGGACAATCGGATCGTCGCGCTGCCCGTCGACGTCTTCCAGGAGGCCGCCAACAGCCTCAAGGAGCTCAAGCTGCAGAACAACTCGATCTCGGTGCTGGCGCCCGGCCTCGTCAGCAACATGAACCAGCTCGTGCTGCTGGACCTGTCGCGCAACGCCCTGACCAGCAGCTGGATGAGCTCGGCCACGTTCGCCGGCCTCATCAGACTCGTCCTCCTCGACCTGTCCTTCAACCAGATCGACCGGCTCGACCCGGCCCTCTTCAAGGACCTCTACACCCTGCAGATCCTCAATCTCAAGTACAACGAGATCGAGGTCATACCCGCGGACACGTTCGCGCCCATGAGCAATCTGCACACCCTCGAGATATCGCACAATCGGCTGCGCTACCTCGACGGCCAGTCGCTCAACGGCCTCTTCGCGCTCTCCCTCCTGGCCATGAACTACAATCTGCTGGAGGGCCTGCACCAGGACGCCTTCAAGAACTGCTCGAGCATCCAGGACGTGCAGCTGTCGGGCAACGCTTTGAACGGCGTGCCGAGCGCCCTGCGCGACATGGGCATCCTCAAGATGCTCGACCTCGGCGAGAATCGCATCGAGAGCCTCGAGCGCGCCAACTTCGAGGGCATGACCGGCCTCTACGGGCTCCGCCTCATGAACAACTACATCAGCAATCTGAGCCGGGACGCCCTCGCCGAGCTGCCCGCCCTGCAGATCGTCAATCTGGCCCGCAACAAGATCGAGCACGTCGACGTGGACGCCTTCAGGGCCAATCCCATGCTCCAGGCCATCAGGCTCGACTGCAACGCCCTCGAGGACTTGAGCTCCTTCTCCAACGTCTCGAGCTTGCTCTGGCTCAACGTCTCGGACAACATGATCGAGCACTTTGACTACAAGTACCTGCCCGGCCAGCTGCAGTGGCTGGACTTGCACAAGAACGCCATCAAGGACTTGGGGGTGGCCGTGGCCTCGGGTCACTCGAGGCTGCAGACGATCGACGCGAGCTTCAATCGGCTGAGTCGCGTGGCCGGCCACTCGATCCCGGCCTCGGTCGAGCTGCTGTTCCTCAACGACAATCTCATCCACACGGTCGAGCCGCAGACGTTCGTCGGCAAGCCCAACCTCACCCGAGTCGATCTCTACGCCAATCAGATCGAGCGCATGGACCTGTCGGCGCTGCAGCTCTCGCAGATCCCGATGGAGCGCGAGCTGCCCGAGTTCTACATAGGCGGCAATCCCTTCGTCTGCGACTGCACGACCGAGTGGCTGCAGCGCATCAACCAGCTGGGCCAGCTGCGCCAGCACCCCCGGGTCATGGACCTCGTGTCGGTCTACTGCCGGCTGCCCTACGACCGCCGGCACAGGTTCGTGCCGCTGCTCGAGGCCAAGCCGTCGCAGTTCCTCTGCGGCTACAGCGCCCACTGCTTCGCCCTCTGCCACTGCTGCGACTTCGACGCCTGCGACTGCGAGATGACCTGCCCGCAGAACTGCTCCTGCTACCACGACCAGACCTGGTCGGCCAACGTCGTCGACTGCTCGAACGCCGGCTACGCCAAGCTGCCCGGCCGACTGCCCATGGACGCGACCGAGGTCTACCTCGACGGCAACGAGCTCGGCGAGCTCAACTCGCACGCCTTCATCGGCCGCAAGAACCTCGAGATACTCTACGCCAACGACAGCCGCATCGTCTCGATACGCAACTACACCTTCAGCGGCCTCAAGCGGCTCCGGGTGCTGCATCTGGAGAACAACGGCCTGCGGGCGCTCCACGGCATGGAGTTCGCGCCCCTCGAGGCGCTGCGCGAGCTCTACCTGCAGAACAACCTGCTGAGCCACGTGGACAATCGCACGTTCGAGCCGCTGCGCCAGCTGGAGATACTGCGCCTCGAGGCCAATCGCCTGGCGACCTTCGCCCTCTGGCAGCTCGTCGAGAATCCCTACCTCGTCGAGGTGGGCATGGCCGGCAACGCCTGGCACTGCGGCTGCGCCTACCTCGAGCGAGTCCGCCACTGGATGCTGACGCACCGCGAGAAGATCGCCGACTGGCGTCAGGCCAGCTGCGCCCTCGGCATGGAGCTGCTGGCGGCCAACGGCTCGTCGCCGGGCCTGGGCTGCGTCGCCCTCGAGGGCCTGAGCGCGGGGGCCCGTGGCCGAGCCGGAGTCCTCGACGCCCAGCTGCTGGCGCTCAGTCTGGCGGCGGGCCTCCTGCTGGTCGGCCTCCTCGGCCTCGTGTGCGGCGCTCTGCGACACCGCCGCCAGCTGCGAGCCTGGGCGGCCAGTCGCTGCGGCCTCCGAGCCTGCTACAAGACCGCCGCGGCCTTCGAGGATCGCGAGAAGCCCTTCGACGCCTACATCTCGTACTCGGCAGTGGACGAGGCCTTCGTCTCGCGGGTCCTCGTGCCAGGCCTCGAGTCGACCTACCGGCTGTGTCTGCACTACCGCGACCTCGGAGCCGGCTCCAGCGTGGCCGAGGCCGTGGCCGAAGCAGCCGACGCGTCGCGCCGCACCATGCTCGTGCTCTCGCGCAACTTCCTCCACGGCGAGTGGTCGCGCTTCGAGTTCAAGTTGGCCCTGCGCGAGGCGCTCCGGGGCAGGGGCCGCAACGTCATCCTCATACTCGTCGGAGGCGTGTGTCCGCGCGACCTCGACGCCGAGCTGCGCCGTCGACTCTCCAGCCACACCGTGCTCGTCTGGGGCGACAAGCTCTTCTGGCAGAAGCTCAGGTTCGCCATGCCCGAGGTCAGTCCGGTGCTGGAGAGGCCCCCGTCGCTGCCGACACCTCCGCCGCCGCCCCAGCATCTGTGGGCGTGAGACGATCGCCCGCGATACTGTCGCAGCTGTTCGAATACAAGGTGAGTCTCTTTTTTTTTTCTTCGTCGAGCTTTGCAAGACCTCCACAATGCTCTCTTCGAGTTGACATTTGAATCGAGTCCTCTGCCGACGCCGTAAAAAGTTCCAAACGCAATTTCGTTCTCCGTGTCTCGAATTCTCGGTCAAAATTCAAATTAACTCTAGTCAGACCGGAGCCATAAAGATGCGCATAAAAAGATCTCGAAACGCGTATAAAATTCAGTGTGCCAAGTGTTGCATAGTAGAGAGCGAGCGGCGCGTGGAAGCTGCGAAAAATCAAGAGACACGGGCTCGCATCAAATATTCTTGCGATGTATATATAATTCAGAGCTGCGGGAGACGAGCTGCAGAGGGGACGAAAATGTCGGCGAATTGCCTTGGGCCTGGCTTTTGCCAAGAGGACTAGAGGAGTAGGTATACGCTGCACAGGCGTATCGTCGTTTGCCAGTGGGTGACGTCACAGCGCGCAAGCCGTCTGTTGACTCTTTGTCGAAAGGCTCACCTTAATCAGGCCTAAGTACAAGGAATTCCTCAGCGAGAGAGGAGTGCGCGCAAAGTGAGAGAGAAAGCAGTGAAACTTCCCAGGTATTTCTCATGCCACTCGTGGTCGTGGTTACCGAAAAGCAGCTCTAGACTCTGTGCTTTACAAAAGCAGAAGCAGCAGCAGCAGCAGACGCCGCTCGCTTATACGCAGTCACGTATGTTGCAGCATACACTCACCACGAGAAGAGAGAGAGAGAGAGAGAGAGAGAGAGAGAGAGAAAGAACAAAAGATAGAGCTCGTGAAAAATCCAAAACGGAAAGAAGCTAAAAAAGTTATGCAGCGCATACCATTCGGTTACCTCTATAAATAAATATATTTATGCACACACGGACGCGTACACACATGCCTGCACATCGCGCACCTGCACGCAGAGGAGAGGTTTCGAGACCGACAGTAAAGAGGGTGCGGGAGAGAAGAAAAAAATAATACTCGCGAGGAGAATAGAAAGCGCGGAAAATTGTGCGCCACGCTAACGCCTGTGATATGAGCGAGAAATGCATGCTGCATAATGCAGAGAAAGAGCGAGAGCCTACGGGGATCAAAAAAGAAGGTACGAAAATTGCGAGCGAAATAACAAAAAAAGGATGAGGGTAAAAAGGAAAATAAACCGGTAAATGAATATCTATACTGGCGATGCGCGGAGGTAAAAGCTCATGCCCGAAGTATAAACACAGACTAAAGATTAAAAGAGGGAAAGGGAGAGAGAGAGAGAGAGAGAGAGATAGAGAACGTGGCGAGGAAGGAGTACTTCATTAGCGAAAGCTTCAACAATCGATACACGAGAAAGCAATACAAACATTATATGTATATATCGGCAGAGGTATAGGAGCTGCTGCCGAGAGCGAGAGAGATAGAGCTTAATAAAAAGGAAAAACGTTTCATTCCGGCCGCGTGATTTGCAGCCTTCCGGGCGATCAAATAATCGAGACTCTCTACTCGGCTCGCAGCCTTCAATACCATCAGATACATATCAATATAATGCATCGGAGTCGCAAGCTCGAAGCTCTCGGGTGCGAGCGTGAGGTAACTTCATTATCGCGGGTGGCAGCTCCTCTTTGACGCGTCGCGCACAGTAGCGTGCAGCCAGTCTTTTCATTATCATCGCTGCGCGCAGCTACCATTGTATATCTATATCACGCGCGGCTAGAAGCTCGACGGCGGCGGCGGCGGCGGTGAAGCTCCGGTGGCAAGAGGCGCGCAGAAAACAGAGAGGCAAAGAAAGAGAGAGAAAGTGAAACGTACAGGGCGTCATGATATGGTGTCTGTTGTTTGTTCTCGCGAGTTACAGCGCCAGCCAACGAGCCAGCCAGCCGCAGCGCCGCAGCCTCGCTGCTATTATTATTTATTTTCCTTTCCCGGCACTCACACACTCGCATACACGCTCACGCTCACAAGAACGTTTTTTTCTTTTCTTTTTTTTTCGCTTCTTCGCGTGCCGTATATAATAATAACAACGACGAGCCACGAGAACGAGTGTCATTGTTTTGAAAAAGTCTTTCGCCCGCACAAAATGCTTACAACGCTGCGAAGCGATGCGATGCGCTGACTGCCACGATGAAGCTTCATTGTTTCGAAAAGTCAATTGTCTCAATGAGTGAATGCACTAGACTCATAATGTAGATATATTATATTTATACATAAACTGCGCAAGCCCCGCCCATATACGCATGCACATTTAGCAAGTTGATTTTATTTATACTCGAGACTTGTACACGTCTCGTGTATACGGTTCACGACTGAGCATTTATCGCTTGATTAAGGAAATGCCGATGAATGCCGCGTGGTTTTTAATGAATATACCTGCCAATCAAATATTAAATCGAGTTTTACACAGAGCAGCTTTGAAAATAACAACGAGCGACTCGCGTCGAATGCATGTACCTTTCAGTGGCATTGTTTTGATACATTGAAAACGAAAATAGTCTACGGTAAAATCATCGTAAAGGCATACGTTTAAATTATTTTTATGCGTGACGCTTGCGACTGAGAAAAAATGCTACAATTCGTAGTATCTTACAAATTTTCCAGCAAAAAAAATAAAAAAGCCAGATCGCCTTATAATGGTCTTAAACCACACAAGCATGATTAAAAGAAGCTTCGTTAAAAGAGTACTCAAATCTTGAACTTTATACGTTATATATATACGCATTCTCGATTGTGAAAATTAATGGTGACCATCGTCGTCTGCAAAAGAATATCTCTTGGTCGTTCAGAATAAGAAGAGAGAGAGGGCGAAGCTCTTGGAAAACTCGTTAGCTGAATGCTGCTACTGCACGTCGCCGTCGTTCTTTTTTCTCCGTCTCTTGAGATTTTTTTTTTGTTTTTTTCTTTAACCTCAGATTTTTTATTATCATTCCTTTTATCGCGATAAGGCAGCTTCTGTGGATTATCACGCGCGCGAGAATCGTTTCTTAAGAGATTTTGCACGTGTGTACTATTCATTTGATATACTTGAAAAAAATGAATAATTCCACGTTACTCTTGATTTTTAAATTTAAAAAGTCATTTTGAAGCTCTGTCGTTGATAAAATTACAACTTGCGTCGGCAAGCTTTTTTTTAACTGCCGCACATTTCTCATGTATAGCTGCAGGGAAGTTTATTTTTTAATAACGCCATCATGTTGCTTTAATTGTCAAAGTTTCACAAAACGTCATAAATGTTCTTTTTTACGTCTTATTTACGTTTTTCTTCGGAAATTCAACTTCCAAGAAGTTGTTACATCCGAAATTTAGCTTTGTCTGATCAAAACGCGTCTTCGCCACTTGTACTTCTTTCGTGCTTTTAAATTTCATCATTATACTTTTACAGATTAAATGAAAGCAATTAAAAGCTGGACTGAAAATAAAAACAAAAATCACAATATCTCCGGGCAAAAAGGCAAAATAAAAAGAAAAAATCATTATTTTATTCGAGCTTTAATTCGTCACAAACCTTCATTACAACGTTCTGCGCCGTATACACACTGTATATCGTGGCAACGCAGCAGCTGCCAGACTCAGACGCGCATCGTATATATAATAGGCGGACGTGAATGTACGTGTGCGTGTTTGCTTTCAGTCGATGTTCTCTCTACGGCCAACAAGTAACACCGTGCCGTGCTTTTTCATTTTAGGACAGGTTCAGTTTTTACTTTTGATTAAATAACTGCACCGAGGCGTGTGTGGTGCAATTCTTTGATTAAATGCACAGAACTTTTTAACAATCGCAAAATTGATGAAAAAATTACGAAATTGCATTATCAATGGGCTTTCGTAAATATAAATTTCAGTAATTCCAAACACTACTGCGAGAGATTGTTGAAAAATACCAATGTACTTGCAATCAAATTTTGCAAAAGAATAGCAAACTTAGCTAGAGAACAATTAAAGTAAGATGAGAAAAAACTGATATACTATCGTCGCACAGGAAGTGACCGGCTGTGTAACAGAGCGCGTAAAGAGCCTCATTTTGATTATTATTCAGGATAATCTGGATGATATTAAGTAGCGCGGAAATGAGATCGAGCGTCACTCTATCCGATGACAAAGATATAATAGTGTCAGCTGAAGATTGCCACTGTTTCTCGCTTTTATTTCATCCCTCCAAAGCGTCGCGCAAATCTCGAGCTCACTCAAGCGTCGAGCTCGTATTTAAAAGCCCTGTGCTTTGAGCATCATAGCGGTGATGGTATAGTAATTTCATCTCTTTGCACTACGTATATATACGCAAGCTTTTGGAATTTAAAAATTATATGTAAAAGATAATCTTTGGGATAGAGTACTCTACTTATAGAGCAAGTGCTACAATTATTCTCGTTTGATAAAAACAAAATCTGCTGTTGAATTTGTTCATGTGTCTTTTTTCTCAAGTTATTTTTTACTTTACTTCTAGTCCAGGACCAAGGTTGATATAAAGTTGCAGTATAATAATTATTATCAAATAAAATATTCTTGTTGAGTTGTATCATATTTGGTTATGTAACTTAATGTGTGAATATTTTAAAAAGTTTACCGAAAATACTATTTCTACGATTTATTTTCTTCTGCGTTCTTATTTTTTGAGAACAGAAATAGTATATTAAGAGCGAAAAAGTGGAAAGCCTCAGAGCACGTGTAATTATCGTCCGAGGCGAAGCCGAGGCCGATAAACATGTGCTCTGAGGCTTTCTTTTTCGCTTCATAGGTGCATATACTATTTTTCATGAATCCCCCAGCAGAAATTAACTTTTTCGTTTTGGCCGTCGGGACGAAAAAGGTTAGTTTCGGCTGGGGTAGCATGAAAAATATAAAAAACAAAACTGTCTTAAAATTTTATAAAATGATACACGTAAATCTTTTAAAGTCTTTTATTCATATAATATTTTTTTCTTATTGTATATCATTAATGACGTTGATTTTCTTGGTACCATTGTTGATTATATTACAGAGATTACAGTTTTATAAACTAGATAAATCGCACTTTAATCAAGTTAAGCGACA